CTTCACACCAGAGACAACTGCAAAGTCATCCGAGGTCTCTCCACTCAGCTGCACCCGCACTCGCATACCACTGTGCAGACATTCAATTAAACTTACAAACTTACGCCGGCAACCAAACTTACCCAACACCAGCCACAATGCCTCGCGGTTCACCGCAACAAATGCCTTGGTGAAAACAAGAAAAAGCGAGTAAAATGACTGGTGTCGTTCTCTGCACTTCTCCTGCAACTGACGAGCCGCAAACACCATATCTATAGTGCTGCGACCCGAACGGAATCCACACTGCTCTTCCGCCACGTTAGGTTCCACAACCTAAGTGACGAGGCGGTTGAGCTGTATACGGGCAATCACCTTGCCCACACAACTCAGCAAGTTGATGCCACGATAATTCGTGCAACATTGCTTGCTACCTTTTCCCTTGTACAGTGGTAGCACAAGGGCATCCTTCAGCTCAGCAGGCACCTCCTCATCAATCCACACGCGTTGCACCAAGTAGTGCATCGCAGTCAACAACACGGGTCCGCCGTGTTTCAATACTTCAGGCGGGATCCCGTCGGCTCCGGCACACTTGCCGTTTCGCAGCTGAGCAAGTGCTCTCTGCGTCTCATCCAGTGTCGGCGTATCCGCCAGATCCGCCTTCACATCGTGCTGCTTTAGGCCGTTCAATGTAAACCAGTCGATCTCTGAACGGTTGTTCAAGAGACAGTCAAAGTGTTTCCGCCAGATCTGTATTATGTCTGCAGTCTGGGTGCAGGTAGCGCCGATCACCATCGATCAGTGTCCTCAGCGGCTCCAATCTCGGTCCATACACCGCCTTCAAGGAGTCAAAGAATTCCTTGTGTTGGCGGCGTTCGGCGTGGCATCCCATCTGCTTCGCCTTCTCCGTCCACCATGCATTTTTAATGCGACGGAGCTCTCGGGTCAGTCGCCGTCGAAGTTTGCGAAACTGACTGTTCATCCCCAAGTCACTGTGGTCTGCCACATGTGCAGCAAATGCTGCATTCTTCTCTGACACCAATGCGCCAATCGTCACATTGTTGTCATCAAACCAATCAGGCCGCTTACAGTTTGCGCGCCCGATGGTCTCCTCGGCAGCAGCTGTCACCTGGTCGTGAATGTGGTGCCACAGGTCGCCCACTGCGGCTATGCAGTCCACATCACACAGGCGTGCAGCCATCGCCTTCTCCAGCTCAGTACGTTTCGCCACAGTACCGAGGGAGAGAATGTTAAATTTACGCTGATTCACGGCGGGAGTGCAATACATCGATTTACGAAAATATATGTACAGTTTGGTCCGCACCAACTTGTGCTCAGTGCCACACTCAGCTCCACGCAGTACACGTGTCATGCGCACTTCACGCCTATCACGCTGACGTACGATGACATAGTCGAGCAGGTGAGCGTGACCACTCCGTGGGTGCGTCCAAGTTGCTATATCACTCGCACTCAGTGCAAACCGAGTGTTCGTGATCGTCAGGCCGTGAGTGGCACATAGTGAGAGCAGCCTGTCACCGTTCGCATTCGCTGAACCAATGCCATGCGAACGGATAACATCTGTCCAGGCTGATGCATCACGCCCAACGCGCGCGTTGAAATCACCCAGCAGAAATAGTCGGTCGCTCCTCGGAACAGACCGTATCACGGAGGATAGCTGAGTGTAGAACTGATCACGCGTGTCATCAGGATAACACATGGTCGGACCGTACGTGCTTATAAAAGTAGCAAACTTACCTCTTCCGAATCGTAGGCGAACAGTCATCAGTCGCGCGCTGATGCCTGTTGGTTCACCCACCAGCTGGCCATGGAGGCGATCGGATATTGCAAATCCGACCCCATGTTCACGTGGTGCTGAGGCGGCGTTGCCCACCCAGTAGAATGTGTAGCCAGCACCTGCTTCATGTAACTTACCTTGCTCAGCGAGCCGAGTTTCACTGAGCGCCGTAATATCGATGTGGTAGCACGCGTCAGCTCCGTCGCGACCTGTGCTTTGCTATATGTATATATATATATATATATATATATATATATATTCAACACTATACCAATTACAATATAATTGGCTGAGTGCCAGAATGACAAGGATCTGGAATAATCGATAGATACGACAGCAATAATTTCTTTCGCTTCCCTGATCTTTTCGACCGACTCCAGAACCGATTTGGTAAGAAGAAGCAACGATTATCGATTAACGGGCGAATTTTCTTGGAGAAATATGGGAGATTCATTTGGGATGATATGCATAAATTCCCGCAAAATGTCTCGCCAGAGCTAATGCATAGTTCTCGCGCTGGACGTCAATCGAGCTGTCAGCTTATAACCCGTCACCTATGGTATTCCACGGTTAAGTTTCAGTGGAGGCAGGTTATTGAGTTCTCCCTTGTTTTCAAAGAGGATTGTGAGATTGAGTTACTCCGACTCCTAACCATTAATCTGTATAGCACAAGTGGCTTTGAAGGCCCTTGGAAAATGCCACCGAACGGAGCTCAATGGGTCACAAAGATACGCAAACCATCGCACCACGTTAACGTCCAGTCTCATCACGACGGTTTGGAGCGCATGTGTAGACTCCGACCATGCACTTGCATGTGCCGACTTCCGAGTGCGTTTCGGCGATGCCTCCGACGACACTGTGAGAGCATAAGCATTTCACCCACTGGTGAGGTCAGATATGCTGAATACG